ATATATATATAAATAGGTAGAACATCTCACGTCTTTCCTTCACATTTCTAGTTCATTCAGTTAGTTTTATTCAAGAAAAAGAGAAAGAGAGATTGTAAAAGTAATATACTAGCCAAATTGCTATAAGAAACGAAGTTAATTCTTCAACAAGTTTTAAAGTAGGGGGAGGAGACATTTATCATAATTTTGAAAAGTTAATTATAACTATAGATGATGCTTGAAGAGGTATCCCTAATCTCATCTTATTTATTTATTTTAGCTAAGGTGATTATATTATTTAAATATATTTTGTTCCTTTTAAAATTTTATATGTATTGTTGGTGTACTATCCGATCTGTGAAACCGAGCTCGGAGCTCGGCACCGCGACACAGAATAATCTCGGATACGCATTACATGACGTCAGCCCGGTATCTAAGCAAATCATAACTGATCCCAAAGGATCTCACCCCGGGCAAGATATATTATCTGATCTCATTATATCTCATCTCAGGCCCAGAGCCCAAAAATAACCCTAATTCACACTAAGGTACGTGCATTATTAATATGAGACTCATACTCACACAAACCCTAACTTTAGCATCGGAGTCTCTTTTGCAGGTACCTCCCCCATCTTGGAGCACCAGCACATCACCAAAGGAGGCTCACCGATCTTACTGGACAGGTCATCGCCATAACCAAATTCCGGTAAGAACATTTGGCGCCCACCGTGGGGCCGATCGCGACGGCTCTCATCGGCCACCTGTATGGTTTCTACTAGGAGCCACATCAGACGAGCAACGGACGACGTAAGCCACTTAGTCACCATGGATAGCGATGCAACAACATTGAGAAGGCTGATTGATCAGGTCGAACAGATGCGACAACAGCACGATGCCGACCTCCAGAACATGCGCACTCAGCATGCAAACGATCTCGCAGCTATGCAAGCAGCCAATGAAGCAGAACTCGCAGCCTTACGTGCTGAAAACGAGCATATCCGCTCTCAGCTCCCTCGACACCATTCCAACCAGCCTCCCCGCGAGAGCAACACACGCGAGGAAGAGGCACATTCAGCCACCCAATCTCGGGCAATGACCAAGGCACCAACCTCGCGGCCCGCTACGCACCGATCTCACGCACCGACGTATAAGTCAGGGCAGGACACCAGCAAGGCCGCCACCCATGCTTTCGAAGGCCAAGAGCCTTTTCGCCGTCACCCTTTCGTGGACAGCATCATGGAGACTCCGCTACCCCGCGGATGGAAACCCCTCCACCTCGACCGCTACGACGGCACAACTGACCCTGACGAACATTACTGTGTAGGGTTTTTCCGATCTCACTTAAGGGAGCGGCACTTCATTGGTACACCCAACTACCCGCCGGGTCCATCGACAGCTTCAACACATTGGTAAGGCGATTCTTGGCACAGTACGCCACCTGCCGACCCCATCATACTACCTCGGCCGCTTTGGCCAACCTCCGACAGAATGACGACGAGCCCCTGCGAACCTTCATGGAACGCTTCTCCAGCATCTCGGTGAGGATACGGAACTTGAATCCCAAGGTCGCCCTACACGCCATGCTCATGGCACTCAAACCCGGGCCATTCGTTGATA